CGTTTGAGAAGATGGGGCACGGGCTGGCTGGCAGCAGCAGCAGCCGGGGCGGCCTGGGCTGGTGGGGTAACCTGATCGATGGCACGGCTGTGGCTAGAGTCCTGGGTGGCCGAGGCAGCAGGTGGCAAATTGCTAAGCCTGTACTCAGCAGTGGGAGAAAGAAGGCTAAATTAGGGCAATGCAACCAGAACAGGAGAAGGAGCAGGGATGGTTGAGGCCTTCCGCAGGCCAGCCCAGCCCAGCGACAGCCAACGCTGACCATGCCCAGGCTCTCCGTCTCCCCCCAGAAATGGCTTGTGCAGTCGATATTTGAGCCCGGCCCAGCTCCAGGGTCAGCGAGTGGCACGCGTGTCTCTGGGGGAAAGGTTGAGTCACCTTAGGGTGCTGAGAGGGGGTTCATGAGGTCCCCAGGACCAGCTGAACCTAGCCCCTAAGGCTCTCCAAGCCCTTGACAGAGTGAAAGGCAAAGGCAGCCCCCAGTTCCCCCCCTTGTACCCCACCACCGTTCTCCTCTACCCTGAGTACTCTGCCAGGAGGTGAGCAGAGGGGGCCTAGTCAGGACAGAGCCCTCTGTTCACGATGCAAGCTTTTATTAAACACTGTCTACGTGCTGCACCCGTGCTAGGCACTGAGAAGGCCCCAGGCTGGACGTGACACTGAGGGTGGCATCAGCCCCCCTGCAGCTGTCAAACAGGGCAGATCCACAACCAAGGTACAGGGGAAAGAGAGTTCCTAGTCAGAGCTGAGTTTGCATTCCAGCCTTACCACTCGCGAGCTGGGTGACTTTGGGCCAATCACTCCACCTCTCCAGGACTCAGTTTGCTCATCTGTAAAATGAGACCAGACACCCTAAGGATACCAGAACAAGCAAGCAGTGTCGGGGAACAGCCTGTGATGCCTGGGGTCCTAACTCTCTCCACCTCATTTCCAGCTCCCGTTCCAGCTTGGGCACCCAGCCCTTCCCAGGCAAGACCCTGGGCAAGGCTCTGGGAGAACTGGGGTGGGGGTGGGGCTGTGCCTCCTGTGGCATGGAAGGGGACAGCTGCTGGGCCAGGTGAAGGCAGGGGTTGGGGGTGGTGGGCATTGGTGCCAGCTGTGGGGGCAGGGCCACTCCTCAGCGGAAGAGGTTTCTCAGCCTCTTCCTGGAAGCGGTCCCAGTGACTCACGGCCATGGCAGCCCATCAGCTCACCCCTAAATCCCTACTACTGTTATTTCAGCCCATCTCCCCTCGTTGAGCTCTGAGCCTAAGGGAGAGGGGTTGGGAGGCCCCTTCAGTCCATCTCATTCCTCATTCAATGGCAAGAATTCCACCTATCGGCCTGGCATGGGGTCAGGAGGCCTTCAAGGCTTGGGCCCCATCCCACTCTGTAGAAGGAGTATTACCGACGCTGACAGTGGGAAAGGCCACACGGACCCACTGGTTTATTATACCCATGAGGAGACAGGCTCTAAGAGGGACGGGGACTTGCCCAAGGTCACACCGTGGGTTGGTGGCTCAGCCAGGCCTCCTCAGCCGGCTTCCCCTCCCCTGCCCTTGAACACCTACCTTCACCAGAAGCCAGGACCCAGCGCAGCCCTATGTGGACCCTTGGCTGGACACAGAGGGAGCATAGACTGAGATGGGGACAGGCAGGCTCGGTGCCCTCATGTCACAGCGGACATAGGGGCCCCCACCCTTCTCCAAGAGGCCAACCTTGGATCGAAGCAGGAAAGGATCCAAGAACTTGAGGCCCAACTCCTTGTCCCCTCACCCGTGGCCTCCCAAACATGGACCTGGCCCACAGCCAGTAGCTGGGCTCTTGGCGCCCCCTGCAGGCCAAGAGCACCAGGTGGCCTAGTTCCATAGGGGACCGGGTCCCTCAGCTGGCAGAGGTAGGGAGCACCCAAGTAGGACTGAGGAGCCAAGTGGCCCCCTCACCTTCTGGATGCACCCTCCCCCTGCCCCTCAGCCATCTAATTGCCCTGTCTCCCTCTGAGAGGCATAAGTATCTGCCTGGACATTACCAGTCTCTGAGCACCCTCTAGGCAGAGCCTGGTAAAGAAGACAGGGAGGCCTCCAGGAGGCAAGGAACGCAGGGAGAGTGAGGGGAGGTTGGACTGCTTCAGCTGGAGACCACCCACCTCCCACCTGCCTGTGCTGTCAGGGAAGAGCTCCTTACACGTGCGGCTCACCCACCATGTGCGCAGCTCAGAGCCAGGTGCACCAGCCACGTCAAATCACATTAATTCCTCACAGCAGCCCTGCAGGATACGAACCATTATCTCCATTTCTAAACAAAGAAAGCCAGACTCAAGCCCCACAGCCAGGGGGGCTGGTGCTGCGGTGAGGAAAGTGGGTCCCAGAATCAGATCTCCCTCTGGCTTAGAAGGAAAACACCCCCAGTGGTTACCCAAGAGCTTCCTCAAAAGTGCTTTCCAGGCCCGTGCCAGCCTGGCTTCACAGCTGTTCCTGGGAACGTGTTAAAAGCCCAGATGCCCACCTGGAGTGGGGCCCAGGCACCTGTGCTTTCAACAAACCCACAAATGTTTCGATGCACAGCCAGATTTGAGAACCATCACTCTGGTCCAACCTACATGCCTGACAAATAGAATCCAGCTGCTGCTCACACACCTCCGAGGATGGTGAGCTCAGTGACCAGTAGGCAGCCCCCGGCTGCACCTTGGCTGCCGTCCTTAGGCTGAACGAACCCAGCTCTCAGCAGCTTCTGCCCACAGGTGTCAGTTCTAGTCCTTGAGCCGCATAAAAGAACAGCGTCTCTACCAGAGGCTTTGAAGTCAGTTGAAACCAGATTCAAGCCCTAGCTCCACCCCTTTAGCTGTGCAACCTTGCGCGCAAGGCAAATTGCTTAACCTGTCTGTGCCTCAGTTTCCTCCTCCATGAAGTGAGGGTTCACTGGCTTGCTGAGAGGATAAATGCAATAATGTAAGTAAAGTACTTAGCCCAGTCCTCACTAAGTTCCATAAGGGTTTGCTATTTTTATTATCATCATCATAAAATGTTCCCAGATTTTAACAGGGCTTTCTGTGTACTTTTCTAGTTGGTCACCATTTAGTCATTCACTCCTTCAAACAAATGTGCAGTTCCTGCCCCATTGCTTCAGGCTCGTGTCAGATCATCTTTCACATGCAACATCCCTTTTGCCTCTGACAACAGTTCTTGACTTAGCCAGAACCAGTGGTATCTTCCCCACATTACAGATGAGAAAACTGAGTCCCAGAGATTGTGACCTTCCCGTGATCCTTCTTAGGGCAAGAAATCTGTGGGGCTTCCCTTATAGGATGCAGCAGCATCTTTGTCTCCACCCCCCAAAAGCGCCCCCCACCAGGTTTGCTGGTAAAGCTCCTTGTGGCAGGGATGGGGGTGTGGGGGGACAGCAGGACACTGGCTGTCTTGTTCAGAGCCCCTGATCTCAACAAGATCTGCGGGTACAGCCAGGGTCTGCGTTTCCTCCTGGGAGGTGGTGGGGAGGCCCCTTTTCCTCTCTGTGCTTACCTGTAAAATGAGGGGTCTGGACCAGACCACCTGTCAGGGAACATTCCTTAAGTCTGTGGCTCTCTGTACTCTGCTGGTTCCCCAAGAACCTGGAAGGCAGCCCCAGGCAGCCCAGGGAGGTGAGCAGGTGCACCTCCTACTTAGCAGGTGGGAAAGGGAGGCAGGGAAGGGAGAGAGGCCTTCCAGAATCACCATTCAGCTTCCTCCCGCCATTAGGCTGCCACCTGTGCACTTACTATGTGCTGGGGACACAACTGGGCCTGGGGGTGGGGGTGGGGGACAGGCTGAGGCAGCAGTTACAGCACAAGTCATGGGGACATCTGGACCTGGGCTCCAATCCAGGTCCACACTTACAAGCTGGGTTACCTGGAGCTGGTCATTTCACCTCTCGGAAACATACTTGGCACTTAATAGGTGCTCAGTTAATGCATGCCACCTTCCCTTGAGAGAGGGACTTCTTCTTCACAGGGTCTCCTCCCCTAAGGATCTTTTTTGTATCCTGCTCCTGGCCCCTTGCCTCCTCCCAGATCACAAGCTGTCTGTCGTTAGATGAAGCCGAGCCTTTCCGGGCCCGTCCACCTGCTGTGAGGACGACAGGCAGGAGGAAGGGCCTCGGGGTTTGAAGGGGTTTGAGGTTCGGCTCTGGCACTTGCTATCTGTTCACCTTGGGCATGTCACCCTCTTAGCCTTCATTTTGAAACCCATAAAATGGGCATAATAATTATCGCCTCATAGATTAGGGGTGAGGATGCACCAGGATGAAGTGCTGCCACTGTGCATAGCACATAGTAGGTGTTTGATGAACAGTGGTGCTCTCCCCTGTCCCCCACTGAAATGCACTCATTAAAGCCCCTTCTCCCCAGAGCTGCCATGACCCTAAGAGGTGGAGCCAGCATTGTCGTCCCCCTTCAGGCTGTAAAAACTCAAGGGGCTGAGGAGAGAGCATGGCACACATGCCACTGCCCATATGCTGACCATCCCCTGCCCCCAGCCCTCACTCCTTATTGCCCCACCCCCAGTACTGCAGCCCTGATGCTAGTCCCCATCTAGTGGCCCTGGGACGTGCCTGGCAGTGAGGATCCTGGCTTTGCTGCCAGAAGGTAGGCTTAGGTCACTGGAGTCTCCTCCTGGGGTTGGGGAAAGAGAGACCCCAGGGCAGGCAGTGACTCCCAGCTAGAAGGCATCACAACAGGAAGGGGTCAGAGCCCAGGGGCTGGGGCTGGGATAACATCAGGGCACGGACACTGGTGCAGGGGTCACCAGGGCAGGGAGGGAGCCCATGGGGGCTCTGCCTCCTTTGGCTGCTTTGGCAGAAGCGCTTCCCCCTTCTGGCCCCTAGAGCTGAGCAAGAGGGCCTGTCACTGGATCCAGACAGAAGCTGTCAGCCAGGACCCACCCCGGGACAAGTCGGTTCCCAGAGAGCTGGCTGGGCAGGGCCTTGTCCTAGGACTGGAAAGAGGAGGCGAGGGGCTCTGCGTCTCATCCACCCCCACCATCCTCTCCCAGGTACCTGGCCAAGCTGTCCTCGGTGGGGAGCATCTCGGAGGAGGAGACGTGCGAGAAGCTCAAGGGCCTGATCCAGAGGCAGGTGCAGATGTGCAAGCGCAACCTGGAGGTGATGGACTCGGTGCGCCGCGGTGCCCAGCTGGCCATCGAGGAGTGCCAGTACCAGTTCCGGAACCGGCGCTGGAACTGCTCCACGCTCGACTCGCTGCCTGTCTTTGGCAAAGTGGTGACGCAAGGTGAGGGAGGGGCTCGTGGGGATCCTGGGGGCGGGGTCCAGGGGTGCCAGGGTGTGGGCCCTTGGCCAAGGGACCCCAGAAGAGACCACTGTGTCCTGGGGTGCGGTATCCACGCTCGTGAGTGACCGGACTATTCGGTCATTTATCAAACAAAAACAGCACCCTGATCCAGCAAGGGCATGAGGCTGCAGGGTGGAGACACTGAGACGGACGTGATCCAGGCAGCGGGGAGATCAGGGTAGGAGGGCCATCAGAGAAGGCTGCTGCTGTTTGTGCTGCGCAGCACCTTACAGTGTGCAGCGTCTTCAGTCCTGGAGCTACCATCCCGTGTTAGAGAGGAAGAAGGCCAGGCTCAGACAGGGGAAGGGACGGAGGTGCCCAGGCTCCGCAGAGGGTGTGCATCACGGTCAGAATTCAGACCTGGGCTCCAGACTCCCCGCCCTCAGCACCCAGCCTTGGACGTGAGCCCATTTCATTCGTGTGTGCCTTTGATGAATCAAATTGACAGCTTCACCAGACCCAGTCCTGAGACCCAGGGACAAGCAGCACCAGCTCTGTCCTCCCGGGCTCTCAGTCAACAACCACAGCTCAGTGGGGGCAGTGGCTTGCACCCCGATAGCACTAGCTAGGGACCAGACACTGTTCAAAGGATTTTAATGCATCTGGCCCTCTGAGATAGGCTTCCATGTTACATAAGAAGAAACTGAGGCACACACAGAGGTTAACCACTTGTCCAGGTCACAGAACAAGAGAGCAGCAGGGCCAGGACTCGAGCCCAGGCACCCAGCTCCAGGGTCTTGCTCTGACCCACGATGAGAAAACACTGTGATAGAGGGGACAGAGGAATCTTGGGAGCACAAGGGTGGACCCCTCCCCTGGCCATGGCTGGGGCTCAGAGAAAGCTTTCTCAAGAAGGTAAGCCCTCCGCTGAGACCAGAAATCTGAGAAGGCATTAAGCCAAAGGAAGGTAGGCCGGGGAACAGAGAACGTTCCATGTAACTCGGAAGCTCCTTGAGAGGTCACCAGGTCAAGCCACGGCCCTCGAGGAAGTGCTCTAAACCAGCTGCCTCTTTTTCTCCTTCCTGGGTATGAAACTGACACTCCCGAGCCACCAACAGTCGACGGGGCCCTTTGACTTGCTCGGGCAGCAGGAAGGCATTGCCTGGGCCAACCTTTGTCTTGGCACCTGTGGTCCTGGACGGCTGGGGCTGCCGGGCTTGTGGCAAACCATTTGGATCCTGTTGGAAACCAACTGTGATAGAAATTTGGAAGCCATTCTCCTGGGAGCTGGCAGAGGCCAAAAAGGCACGCTCATGCTTGGCATTGCTGAACGTTGCTGCCCCAGGGAAGAAGCAGAGACCCAGCGAGGGGCCTGCTAGTGGAGGATCTCCCAAGATAATGGTGCCACTGCTGGGGGCCAGACACTAGGCTCAAACAACAGACCCTGAGCACGGGATCCCTTCACACACGTTAGGCGTTCCGTGTTTTGGATGGACGGGTGGGTTTCACGTGAAGCCCTCTCACCCCCCCATGTCTGTGCGTGTGCTGCATCCTCAACCCCAAATACCCAACCCTCTTCCTCTGCCAGCTCACCAGGTCCCCCCTCCACGGTCTTCCCAGCTCCCACAAGAAGGCGGTTTGCTTTTTCCTCTGGGCTCCGAAGCTCTTTGTCCATGCTGGGGTTTTCCCTCTTTTTTGGTAATTTTTTTGTTTTGAAGTCATTTCAAGCTTACAGAAAAGTTGCAAAAATAGTACAAGGAGTTGCCATATACTCTTGACCTAGATTCACATTTTAACCTATTTGCCGTATCAATTTCTCTCTCTCTCTCGATACACACACGCACATATTTATCTGTTGTAACCCGTGGGTGTTCACGTGGCTTTCAGGACACCTGTTAGACTGAACTGTGATGCCTGTTTCCCCCACCCGACTCTGCTATCCTTAAACCCGGGTGACATCGTATTTACCTGATTCCCAGCATGTGGCAGAGCCTGGCATAGAGGAGACAGTCCATGGATGTCTTCCAATGATAGGAAGCAAGGCAGGGCCAGGACTGGGAGGGGTAAAGAAAGGCAGGCCTGGGTCAGTGCTGGCCTGAAGCCAGTGAGAAGTGCCTTCCTCACCTGTGTGTAAGAAGTGGGGCCCAGCCTGGACGCAGGAAGTTTGGGAAGACACTGAGAGTCTTACTGGGCTTGGCTGGAACCTGCTCCAGGCTGCAGTCAGAGTGGCAGGGTCAAGTGTCCAGTGTCCTCTGGGCTGAGTCAAGGTGCCCTCCCCCAGGCCCGCGATACTGGGCAGTCATGTTTGGAGGAGTCTGAGATCTTCCATCCATCCATCTCTTCACTTCGGGATTTCTTATTTTCTTCCCTAGTAAAATTCCTCTTGAAAAAGTCTGAACTTGTCTCCTCTGAGCAAGAAGAGAAGGGACTTGTCCATCCGGAGGCCAAAGTGCTGCTCTCTGAAGGTGCAGGGGTTCGTGAGGCAGCTGGAGGGGGAGCAGGGGCAAGCGTGACCTTGAGTGAGTGACTTCACTCCTCCAAGCCGCGGTGTCCTCACCTGTCAGTGACACGGGCAGGTGCACTTACCTCATAGGGTTGTCAGGAAGATTCAGTGACGTCATTCGTGGCAGGACTTAGTGTAAACCCTGAAGAGCTGTCCATTGTCACCAGCTGCTGTCATTTGGGGTGGCCGTGGCAGCAGCAGCAGCCAGTCTGGGCAGGCCTCTCCTAGCTTTGGGGGGCTTGGCCAGAACCCGCATTCATGAGCTGCCTGGCTGGGGTCATGACCTCACACACAGAAGAGGCCCAAGCTAACAGATCTCCCCCAGAGCCAGGAACCTCATTTGTCAAGGGCCTCCTGTGTGCTGTCCCGTCAGATCACCCTGATGACAAACTCTGCGAATGTGTAGTATTGGCCCCATTTCACAGCTGAGAAAGGGGCTTGGCCAGCAGGAAGGGTGGTAACACACCCAGCTCCGGACCTGCCGATTCTCGGCTCTGAGATCTTGGGCAAGGGTCTTTCCTCCTCTGGCCCCAGCGTCCTGCTCCCTGGGGACAATCCCAGGGACTCCCATCAGGGTTCAGAGACAATGCCTCTGAAGGGCTTAGCTGACTCCCACAGAGATGCCCCAAGAGGGGGGCAGCTCTCTTACCACCAGCATTGCCCGAGGTCTCCCAGCCTCTGACTCGATAATCCCCCCACCTCCAAGAAGTGGAGGCCACCTGTTTCTGGCCTACTGAGGCATTGAGGCGGGACCCAGAGGACACACACTGAAATAATGGTGACCAATGAGGACAGTGTGTAAGTTAGGGCCAAACTGTGTTCTCTAGGCTGAAAATGTACCAGAAAGTCAGTAAAGTTGGTGTCTGGGGCAGCGAGGGATGGGGGCAGGAGGCAGCTCTTGGCTGAGCAAGTGTTAAGGGCCAGGCATGATGGCCTCTGCATTTTAGTCACTGCTTGATCCTAATGTCTAGAGTAGCACCTGCACGTAGTAGGGCACGGATAAATTTTTGTTGAATGAATGAACAGGGTTTGAGGATGGGAGGGAGAGGCCATAGAGTCTGGCAAGGGTCAGAGGTGGCCGTGAGCAGGAAGCACCCAGGCCTCAGAAGGGGCTGGCCTGAGCAGGACGAGAGAGGCAGCAAAGGTAGTGCAGACCCCTCTCAGTTCTGTTTCCCTCCATCCATGGACAACACCGGGCCTCCCCCTGCCTCTCTGCATCTCGCTCCGTGACCTTGATCAAGTTCCTGTCCTGAGAAAGGGACCTCCATGAGCCCTAAGGCCCCTGCAGGCTCCGTCTGCCACTGTCGGGAGGGATCTGGTGCACTGGCCGTAGCAAAGTGAGGCTTCAAAGCTGGGCCCAGCTCCACTCCCCGCACGTCGGACATCTCCTAGGACACCTTACTGACTGTAACATGGGGCTGGATTTAAGAAGTAAATGACTCACTAAAACCTGTTTTCTCATCTTTGTCCTCAATATTGGCATCACATTAGACCCAATGAGGGTGAGACCATGCCTTCCTTCTGAGGACCTCTTAGGCCTGCGTTTTGTACCATCAGATAACTTATGGGGGGGCAGGGGGGGGAGTTATCCCAGAGACACTCTGCCACTGAGAGTTCCTTGAGGACAAACTCCCTGGGTATCCCTAGGGCGTTAGCATATGGCCTAGCTCACAGCAGGTGATCAATAAACATTTGGTGAGGCAGCAAAAGGGAGAAAGAGTCTCTGCCCAAAGGATGCTTTTAGTCCAAATGGTAAAGACATGGTCAGCGCACTGGACGGGTATTTGTTAGCAAATGGATAAAATGGCATTAATCACCGTGCAATAACTCACAATAGCTACTATGTTTCTGTTGCCTACTGTGTGGCCAGGGACTAGACTGAGCACGTTCCATATTTGACCTCATTAGATTTCCAGAACCACCTAATGAGGTCAGTACTATTGCCAGCCCCATTCCATGGACAAGGAGGCTGAAATCACACATCTAGGAAGTGGCAGATCTCAGGCCTGCCTGGTGAGCATCGCACTCTTTCTCAACATCCACCCATCTCCAAGTAGCTGTGAGAGGCCTGCTCTGTGCTGGGTCCTGGGGGCCAGAAGAGAATTATGAGGGACAGCCTGGCCTCAGGTGCTTCCAGTCTGACTGCAGAGGCCGGTGGAACACACAAGACACTTAGAAGATAAAACAGTCTACGGCCTGATTCTGACTGTGAGGGGCAGGCAGGCCAGTGAAAGCAAATCCTTCAGGGGGAGTGCGGGGGATGCAAAAGTGCTGGGGTCTGGCCCACTGGGGCAGCCGGATTTTCCCCATGTTTGAGTTGGGAAATTGAAGCTCAGAGAAGAAGGTCATGCCTAATTGACACGGCTTTGTCCAGCTCCAAAGCCTTTACTCTCCTTCCCTCTGTCCTATCCTACACCATCTCTTAAATCCAAAGAGGCTTCCTGGAGGTGGTTTCAAGAAAAGGTGAGCTTTTGCAAATAAGAGAGCAAAGGACACT